CCGCCGCCCCCTCCCCCTCGCCTCCCCCTCCCCCTGCCTGTCCGCATGGCGGCGGCGGCGGCCGCGGCTCCTCCTACAGACAAGATGGCGAGAGCTCCGCCACCGCCGCGCCAGCCTCGGAGTCACGGCCTCCCGGCTTCGCGGCCGGAGGAACGCGGGCCGGGGAACCTCCCTGAGGAGAAAATGGACGGCCGTGCTCTCACACAGATGGGGGCCCCGAGGACGGAGACTCGAGGGGGCAATACGGGTTCCTTTCTGAGCGGGAAGCGGGGCTGGCTTTTTCCACAGCTGAGGAGAAACGAGGGGGACACGGTGGCCGGGAAGAGTCCACCCTGTCTTCGCCCCTTGGCTGTGGAAATCGGGGGTTGTGACCAGAGGAGGAGCCGCTTGTTCCTGAGCAAGGACTCGTTCCGAGAACAAGCCGTCCGGGCCGCGCGGCGGGGGGACAGGAGAGCTGACCTGACGTCCCCCGCGGGCCGCGGAGGCTGCTGCAGGACCGGGGTGTCGCGTCCGAGCCCCTCCGGGCGCGCCTCCATCCAGGAACGCGCGGAACTGGTGGCCCGGAGGTGTCGGCGCGCGCCCGGGAGTGGGGACCGGAAGGGGCACGCGAGATGGGGGCGCGCGGGGGCCCAGGGCTGCGACCTGCCTGGCCCCGGGAGGCCAGGCTGGGAGACGCGGCGGGGGGGAGCCGGCCTGTCCCGAGGGGAAAGGAGAGCTGCTGAGGAGTCACTTCTGGTGGAAGTAGGAACCAGAAGGCGGAGGGCGATTCTTCCCCAGGCCTGACTCTCCCTAGGAAGCTATTCCAGTATTTGTGCCCATAAATACTTGTCGTGTCCTGATGCGTCGGGAGCGCTATTTTGTCCCAGCTAAAACAAAAATTTGAAGCTGGGAAGCTTCCTAGGGCAAGAGAAGAGAAAAACCTGGGTCTCCCCCAGCCGAGAGACAGTACAGGACAGTGGCCAGACCGTGTGCGACAACAGAACTCCGACCCTCCACCTCTGCAGCAACCGGCTTGGGAAGCCAGACCACAGCCTCTGCAGTGACGGGACCAGAACGAGCAGCGCTTGGTCACTGACTGCCAGCTTCCCCGGTTTTTGCCCCTGCTTCCAACCCGGGGCCAATCAGAGAAAGCCAAATATGTTCCCCAAACCAATCACAGAACAGCGCCTCTTCCGGTTAGCCTGCCTCCGGCTTCTCAGGTCAACAACCTCCAATCA